CCTTGCCCACTAACCTCCCCCGAGGGGCACCTACCGCCCCCCGTCCATTTTTGCTCCAGTTCCCACCCCCAGCTTCCTCCATGTTGTCCCCGGCTCGACCTGGTGTGGACCGTAGGGCTAGGTCCCGCGCCCCCTGAGTGTCGGTCGTTTCTTGTTCGGCTCCCTGGTTCCGTGTCATCGTTGTCCTTGTTTTTACGTTGTCCTATTCCAGCACTCCTCTGCCGGTGTCCTGAAGCGTGGCTTGTGTGTGCTTCCCCATGCCCTGTTTAATTTTCAGCGCAGCAGCTTGTAGCGTTGTGCTCCAAGCTGTTACGACGGCGCTTACCCTACTTTAGAACCACGGTGATCCATTAGCATTATTCAAATTTTTGTGCTTTCATTTTTTTTTGCTGCTAGTTTAAAAACGCTGCTCTTCCGTTTTCTTTACTCTTCTTTAGTCTTCTCATAGTCTTTCTTAGCTGTTTTTTATTTCATACAGTTTCTCTCCGGGATGTTTGTTTTTATTCTGAAAGAACAAATGAGCTATATATTTCCTATAAAAAGTTTCTAGTGGCAGGCAAGATGTGCAACCGCTGTATCTAACCACATGTTTGCATACTAGAGAGATGCAGAAGCACACCTGGCACCATGCATTCTAGGAAAGTTGAATGTCCAATTGTCTGGCAAATGAATAGACTCTAGTGACTGATGTGTTGAAGCTGCACTGGAAATATCAATTACAACACTGTAGTTCAGTGTACCTGAGGTATTTTTCAGACTTTCATATTATTGGTGGGAACTTTAGCTTCATGTTTGATGATTATGCAGCATGTTGCTTGCAAATCCAGCTGAGTGAAATGCCCATGTAACTGTATAGATAATGCTAGGGCCTTAATAGTTTATATTTGTGAATCGAATATAAAGAATTCGGCTGGAGGACAGTATTGTATTTTTTTACATTATGATTTCTGTTGTATGTAGGGTTATATGAAACTGGTGAAAAATTGTCCCTTTCTAAACAGTTCAGAAGCTAAACCACAAACCACTGCATTTAGTGCAGCTGCAGCAAAAGCAGAGGTGATCTAAGAGAGAGAATCCTTTGAGATGACATCTGCAACATATGAAAACTTATATGAAAAGGCAGGAAAGTCTTTAGGAGGATTTTTAAAAAGATGAGCCTTTAGAAACAGTTTTTAAGGTGGCTTTCCAGCTGAAATGGCATGTAATCCTTGTATGGTGTTCTCACATTATTTTTGTCTTCCTAGAATGCCCAAATCAAAGGAACTTGTGTCTTCAAGCTCATCTGCCAGTGATTCAGATAGTGAAGTTGACAAAAAGGTGAACGTGATATGCAGTTTATTACTACTGTATTAACTCTTCTGTTTCAGTTTGGAATTAAGGAATTATGTGAGCATTATGTCACAACATACGTGTCTTTCCATATGATTGCTTAACACAAAACACCTCCCACCCCCCAACAACTGTAACAACAAAAAGCCCACCTCCTAAGATTAGGCTTTGGGTGGATAGGATGATCTTTGCCTTGCCAGTAAACTTTTAAGTTGCATTTTGCTCTCCTTGGGTTTTTCCATATGATATATATAACCACAGGCTTTCTGGAATTCTTTGCTGCTTTGTGGCAAATGATAGAAGGCTTCTGCGTAAGCTGCCCCTGGTGGCAAGAATTTGGACTTTTTGAGGACAAACACCCTGCACTCCCCCATTTTGCTGGCTGGATTAATTGTGCAAAACAAAAAACCTCCACTTGCCCTATCCTTCACATGCCACTTGCATATCTTGTTTGCATGTTCTTTTTCTGTGTTTCAGATTTTTAGACTTACTGTAGTAACATCTGCTACTTCCTCACTTAAAAGCTGAGCCAACCTGAATGCTTTTGAATTGATTAATTTTAGCATATTTGATTATTTTAAACATATAAATTCACTGTTCCCATTTAGTTTTAGTAGTTATTTATGTTTTCCTTTTGTATGGATGTGCCAAGATGAACAAGCCAGAAAGAAACGGTGGCTTTATCATTTTAAGAAATGCTAGGTGGTAACGTAGACAATCAGGTCTTTTAATGTGGTATGTGAAGAGACTCGGTCTGCTTTACTGGGTTGGTTCAAATATGATTTGGTTGCACTTAGCAAATGAGTTGTTCTGTGAGATCTTCATATAAGAGAAAACAGGTAATTTTTTTTCTAGAGAACTGTATTCCTGAAAAGGCATAGTCTAACAGTCTTCTCTAGTAACCAGCAAGGTATTTTCTTCTACTATAACCTCCCATATTTGTGGAATTTTTTGTCTTTTAAAATCAGTTATCCACACTGTGATTCTAGCAGGTGAGACAAATTTTCGGTATCTTTGTATTACTCTTTCTGGGGCAGGCATGTTTACTGTATAATGAGTAGTAGAAGCAGTATCTGTGTAACTTCTGCAGGTAATCTGATATTGTCTGGATGCTTTAAAAAACATCTTTAATTTATCATGCTGCGGACAGAAATGGGACACGATAAAAAACATACTCTAAAGGAAACAATTTCTAGGTCCTTTCTTCATTGTCTCACGTAGGTTTTTTGCATGTTTTCAGAGATGTTGTAAGCTGTCCTGCATTTTTTGTTGCACTCAGTGGAAAGGAAGATGAAACTTGCATTACACTTAATCTTTTGTTAGAGCTATTGAACCAGCAGTATTACTGTGCAGAAAGGGTAGAATTTTTGAAATGTATTTTGCTCTAATTCAGTTCTCTTTAGTGTAGTATTGTGCTTTAAAGTATTATGTTTAATTTCACTGAAAACAGAATTAGGCTTATGTGAAGACTTGGGTTTTCTTAAGATCCTAAATATACAGTATTGGATTCCTGCCTTCACAGCAGGAAGGTGACAGAGTGCATTGTTGTGTGGTAGTCATTCGTGATCTCTAGCATAAACTTGTCTGTAACTTACAGAATGAATTGAGATTCATGCTTTTATTTTTTTTCCTCTTTTTTTATCTTCTTTTTTCAAGGCAAAGCGGAAAAAGCAAGCAGCGCCAGAAAAGCCTGTAAAGAAACAAAAGACTGGTGAAAGTTCAAAAGGTGCAGCTTCTTCTAAGCAAAGCAGTAACAGAGATGAAAATATGTTTCAGGTAAAATTGGTATTTCTTAGCGCCTGTTTAAGGTAGCATATTACATCATATTCAGTATACATTTTATGATGTGATCTGAGTGTCTTGACCAGTGTAGTTTTTAGACTCGAAGCCTCGGCCAAAGGGGATTACAATGCTAGCATGTAGATGAGATGCTCAGAAGTGTTGTCAGATTTCAGCACAGTAAAAAAATCTGAGTTGCAGCAATTGATCTAACCCTCATGTCTTTGCCCATGGTAGCTATGAGTAGTTCTTTTGTTGCTAAATGCATCCCTTACCATGATTATTCTGTAAATATTAGATCAGGACTGTCTCTACACGGAAGTGACTTTTGATCAGGACTCTTGAAAGAAAGATTTTGGAAACCAAAGTATGGACTCTTCCTATTTAACTAGGTCAAGGACAGTTTGGCTCCTGTATTACAAGACAGTGTCTCGGAATAAGCTTTGCATGTCCTTGTCTTTTATGATGCAGGTTTTTCTCACTGAACATTCAGAAAGATTGTAATTTTTGACATTGTCCTTGGGATGAATATGGATTTTCCATAAGTGAGATGCATTTGTGTATTCAGAGTGTTGCAGTTCCTGGGGTAAGCTGAGGCAGCAGCAGTGTGTGCTGAAAGCTGTGCAAGAATGTTTAGCTCAGAATTACCTGTCCTGGGGGTGTGGATCAAGACTTATGAATTGTCTCTGATTAGCTGTTTGGAAAGGAACTTACATTCTTTGAGACTTGAATTCTTAAGTTTTTGAAGGGTATGGGAGAAGTGCCTGGTAAGATGGCCCCAACACTGAGTAAGGCAAAAGAAACAGTTTTAGGCTGTAGCTGTGCAAAGTAATACAGGGAGGAAATAAAAGAGTTTTCTAGTGAGAATACCAGCTTAACAGGTATGGTAATAGAGGGGCATTATTTTTAATGTAATCTCACTTTCTTTGTCATGTATAGTTGGGAGAGAGCTTCAGCTGAAGGCAATGCCTGAACTTCACCACTGAAAGAAGAACATAATGTTTTTTTTGTTTTGCTGAGGCATGCTTTGAACCACATAGGAAAAACAAGATAGTGTTCTACACTTTCGAGGTGAACTGCAGTTAGAACTGAAAAACCCCATGTGTGTAAACTTTATGCTGTTTATAGTAAGTTCAGAAATACCAGCCTTAGAAAATGCTGTTAAATTTTTTCAGTGTTCCTTGTATTCTCCTGGTGACCGCTTGCCTGACATAGAATGATATTATAATTAATGGACAGACCAGCAGCAAAACTCCCCCCTGTGCTACCAGCCACTTCATACCCGAGACCCAAAGTGCTGGACAGCCCGAGGGAGAACAAGTCCATGCACTCGCCCACCACAGTGGATGTGAAGAAGGGAGTGAGCTGGGCAAGGACCCAAGCTGTGGGCAATGGGAGCAGCCAGGCCACGAGCCTGGTTATAGAGTAGGGACCCAGAGGCAGCTTCATGTTCTGGCCCTGCCACACTGGGAAGAGTCAGGAAGCCCTTCCCATAGCCAGAATGCCCACACAGCACATGCACTGTGTGGGCAGGCCTCCCAACCCCACTGCAAGCAGAGCCAGTTCTTGTGGAGGTGGCTTCTTGCCCTGCCTTCAAGTTAATGTGGATGGTGGGGGCACCTGGTGGTGGTCTCCTAATCAGTTCCCACCCAAGGCTGGCCAGAACCTGGGTGAAAAAAAACAATCAGGAGAGTCTTTCTTGCCTGGTTGTGGACATCATCCATATGCCAACCCTCATTCAGGGCGGGGGGTTTAAACCCCAGCACTTCATTGATGCAAAAAAAACTCGCAAACCTTTTCAAATAAAAGTATTTGCATGCTCTGATTCCTTTCAATCTTTTTGACCTAAGATAATAAAAAGAACAGACAGTGGAGGACTCCTTTTAGTCCTATAAGAACAAGATTCTTACGGTGTTGAGTCTAATAGAGAAAAAGATATTTTACTATGACATTGACCTAAAATGTCACTTCTGCTGTGTCTCTGTATGCCTTCTAGTTAATCAACAACAGATTTTTTTCCTGGATTTTTTCTTGTGTTATGTGAAGTGCTGATTTTTTTCAAGCTGCTTCGGCGTATGGGCATTAACTAAGATGCAGCTGTTCAAGTGTAAATAGCACTGGAGGTCTGAGAACACTTCCCCTCTCTGCCCCCTGCCCAGGAGAGCAAGCTAGAAGATTGTTGCAACATTAACTTTTTAGGTATCCTCTTGTTTTCTAGGACTTCTAGTAATACTAGAATCTCATTTCTGCTTTCCCATGGCCGTAAAATGATCTGATGTGCAGGGGATTTTGCAGTCGTACTTAAGAAGTGTGGCTTCAGCTGATGGAAATGAGGCTGTAAAACATTGGTAGGATAGCTCGAAGTTTTGTAGTGGCCGTATTCTGTGTGGGAGTGGCAGTAAATGGTGTGAAACTTACAGGCTTGTTCTACACCTTCAGGCTCTGTTCTTAACCTATATGGCTTCTCTTCATGCAGAGCTCATTGTCACTGCTGCGTTCAGAAGATTCAGCGTTTTCATAAAGTTCTACGTTTTATTGTTTTCGTTTGAGACTGTTGTTGGTATAATAATACTCTTGAAACATCATGAAGAATAGTAGAAATGATAGTAGAAATTAAATAATCCAGTCTGAGACCAAGTATATTTTATTTACATGCTTTGGCCATTTTAGGTTTGATAAGTTGCCTAGTATCCTTGAAATTGTTAAAGGATGTGGGTGCAGTTGGAGAGTGGAAATTTATCTTACTCCCATTTGTGATGTATTACTGGAGGCGCTAAGGGCAAGAATTATTCACATTAGCGTGGAAGGGTTTAGTGTTGATACATTAGATTCCTGTCTGTGGTTCAAGCCAAACGTGAGCTCTACATAGTATGCTTTGGCTAGTTTGACAAATCCTGTCATCTGCCTGTGCCTAATTTGGATAAGGTTTGCTAATGCTGTCAGGGTGCAGTATTAATGACTACTCAGAGTGGAACCACATAGCGTGATCAAGAATTTTGCTGAAATTTTTATTTCAAAAATAGTACAACTGTGAGTTGTTTTGTCTTCCTCCCTTTTCTTTAAAAAAAAAAAAAAAACCAAATAAGCATTTTTATGATGATAAAGTTTGGATTGTATTTGCTTTTTGACTTTTGAGAAAGAAGTTCTTTGGCTTCCCAGGGTGATGTCTCTGTCGTAGGCTTCTGAAAGTAGATAAATATATGTTTATGATACTCTCAAAGGTAGTTGGTTTAGTGTGTTCATTCTGAAACTGAGATGGTTACTGATGCATTTCACAATCAATTTGCTGTGTTTGTGTTGCAGAGCTCTCTGTTTGCAGGACTCTTTATTGTGCTGCATCTAATGCTGTACGTATAGTTATCAACTAAGAAAGAAGGATACTTTTTTCTATTTCTAATTCCACAGCATGTATATAGTTTAATCAAGAAAAACTGGAAATAGGATGATAAAAGGTAAAGGTGGTTGTTGAAACTCATACAGGAAGTCAGTCGCATGGCTGTGAAAGGAACTGAGGCATGGTTCAGTGCATTTAATTTTAAGAAAAAGAAACCTGGAAATACTGCTTTTAATGTCTTCTGTCTATGTAAAATTCAATAGAATAGTATAGCTGAAGGAGCTGTAATATTTAACAAAAAGCCTATGAACTCATCTATAAAGCATGAACTGCAGTAACTACACTGCTATAAGTCAATACAACCCTTGGAACACTACTTTGGTTATAGAGATACAAAGATGTCTTAGACCAGTGAGATTATTCTAGGAGTATCAGCTGCTGTGTGAAAAAAAAAAATTGTTCATAAATGAATCTGTGCCAGAATTGCAGGTAGCTGAACATCAGGGAATGTTGGTTTACCTAAATAGTTTAATCAGCCTTCGGGTGAGGTGTTTGACCTTAGATGTGAACTGAAGCTATACTTCAGAAGTCTCTTTAATGCAGTGGCAGCATCTGCATAGAGTTCAATTAAAAATTCAAAATTTGATGTGAACATTCATGTGAAATCTAGACAGTGATGTAAAACCTAGTGCAATTTCAGCTTTTACATATGGAACTGTTTCATTTAAGGTTAGACTCACTGAGTAGTGTGAACTTCGCATTATTGTCTCCTGCCTCACTGTAGTTGAGTTAAGACATACATTTTTATCCTTAAAATTCAAATCCCAAATCCTTTTACTGCAGTTGCACCTTGCCACGGTTTGGGGGTCAGGACCGCCCCCAGAACCGTAACAGATGCTCTCTGTTAACCCCCTCCCTCCATCCCCCAAAGGGAATAAGGGAGAGAGACTTAATTAGAAAAGAAAACAGCTTTAATACTACCACTAATAATAATAGTAACAATGGTAATAAAATAGAATATGTACAAAGTTAGTACTGAACCCAACTCCCCCCTGATGGCAATGCATCACAGTCACCCCCAGCTGGGGAGCAGCTCCCGAGGAAGGCTCCCAGGCTGGACTCAGCCACAGACAGGGACTGGGTACAGGAGCTGGATTCTGGAACTCAGTTCAGGAGCACAGGGCTCGGATCAAAGGCAGCACGGCTGGAGTCCTCCTGAGATGCAGCCACTGCAGCAGCAGCAACAGACAGAAAAGAGACAAAAGAAAAGGCCAGGGAAGGGCTTGCCCCTCCTGATCCTTCAGCTTTACTGGGTATGATGGCTGTGGGATGGAACACCCCACTGGTGAATCTTGGGGTCACTTCTCCTGCCCGCTCCTCCCCGCAGGTGCAGGGTACTCCTAGGCCCCTCTGTGGGATCCAAGCTTTGCAGTGGCCTTGGTCTGTACACCAATCCCTGGCAGTAACTCTAAACATAGAGTCTTACCACTGCTAAAACTAGTTTGTGAAAATGCTGTTAACTTCAGACAGGACAGTTAATTACAAGAGCTTTAGATGAGAAGTTAAAATCATTGGGCAAAACCAGCTGTTTTACCCCAAACCGGGACACACCTGTAAACTGCTATATAAGATTTTATTTCTTAGAGCAGGCTGGTAGTTATTTGACAATGCACTAATATTCTTTGATAGCCCGGGCTGTGGGTGGGGAATTGCAGAATAGCTTCAAGTACTAGTATTCTGAGAGGTGACCTTAAAAGTCACTGAAGCATTAAAGGGTGAAACCAAGAAATATTGTTCATGTAGGTATTTAGGATGTTCTTTGTCAGCAGTGCTGATGGACTGGGGCATGGTGCCAAGTTTGGTCTGAGAGAACTAAGCTTTTATCACACCTTATTTTTGAATATTAAATTTGTAGTACTGTGCAAGTATTTAATACAATAATGCAAAAATATCTTAGAAACTGTAATGTCTTGTTTATTTTAAAAGATACTACAATGTAGGAAAACTGTTTCAGGCTTACGGTATCTAAAGATGTCATGAATGTTTTAAAATGAAATTCAGAGTTAATTCAGCATGATCTGCAGAAGAACTACTTTAAGCAAACATAAAGCATTCTTGTTTATATCTATTTTTTGAAGTAATGGCTTAGATTTAAACATCTGTGGGTGATTTTAGTTGATTAAAGAGTTGTTCAACCTTCCTAGTCAGACTTAATGCTAGTAAGACGTGTTTGGGCCCTGATTAAATGGTACTAAGATGCAAGATGCATAAGCTGAAAACTAAAGTTAATGTTTTATAGAAAAGGAATATTCTGTTTTAAAATAGTTTACTTCTGAATGTGTGATTTCCTCAAAAAGTGTATCCAAAAGGTGCATACGGATTTCTAAGAATTTCTTACATTAATTGTTTTAATGTGTTTTTATTATCTGATTTCTGGATTTCAAATTCATATTATACTTTGTGTTTGTGAACAAATAGTGTTTTATCTAATTTGCAAAGATCTTTAATGAGCCTAAATATGTAGCATAAAGCATAGTTATCAATGTCTCCGCTCCCCCTTCCTCCAGGTGTCCTCCCCCACAAGGTGTTCCCACCTTCCCTCCCCCCCAAAAAAAAGAGACTCTTAACTCAGTTAAGCCACTGTGATGCAGAAATTAAAAAATTCCAAAGTAACTTCATACTGTGCTACCTACTGGTAGATTTAAAGTTTTTTTCCAACAGCTGGTACAGTGAGATAGTCTTTTAAACACCATTCCAATGAAGTACCATGAGGACTCTGGAGGAGGCCTTGGCCTTGCGACAGTTGTTGGCCCACTTTCATTTCCATCTCTGTTTACAGTGTTTAAAAAAAAACCAAACTAACCCAAACCAACCAAAAACCACGCTAGAAATTGTGGTTTATTTCATGTGAATATCTAATCTGCTTTCTGTGAATGTGGAATGGACTAAAATTTGGATTTGGGGGTAGATCTCCCTATTTACCTGTTTGTTTTAAAACTGCTGCAAACAAAGATGAATATAATAGAGGTAAGGTTTTACTTCAGAAAGCAGTAAGTCAGTGGCTTTAAGAAGTAAGCATGTAAAGAATATAGGTATTTTTGTTACAGGAGAGCTACTTTTGCACTGAGCATTGAATATTCAACTTGTTTTAAGTCGTTCATCCATTTATATTGTCATTACTTGTTAGCCTACTGAGTACTCTGGATTAAGCTTTTTATCTAGTTGTTTCCCTGGTGTCTAAAATAAGCTGCAGTGCAGTGTCACATGTCATGAGTCTGATACTGCTGGGAAAAGTGAATGCTGTAACAAAACACCTAAAAGATCCTTACATATGTTTTGACAGATTGGCAAAATGAGGTATGTCAGTGTTCGTGACTTTAAAGGGAAGGTTTTAATTGATATAAGAGAATATTGGATGGATCAAGAAGGCGAAATGAAGCCTGGCAGAAAAGGTATTGTTCTGCTTCATGTTATTTTGTATTTGCACGTTGTGGGAGAACTTTGTGTATCAGATTTTTATACTCTGTTGCTGTGTGATATATGTAATCTTTTTCCTTTTTAATTATTTATTTTAAGAAATGGTTACTTTTATCTGAAGATTATGAACGAAAGCAAAGTGGCTTCATTGGCCTCAGTCTCTTCACCCAAAGGAATCTGTGATTTATGAAAAACAAGGCATCAAATACCAGCAAATTTATTATGGGAGTTATAAAGATACCCAGACTTCCCCTCTTTGTCCCACCACCTTGATTAACTTAACTTTACTTGGTTACAGTTTGATACCTTATTTCAAAATTTACTAAAAAGACTTGACTTACGCAATTGTGGTAACATGTTAATTTCTTAAACAGTTATACCCTTCAATTTATATTGAAATTTAGATGAAAATAATTAAAACATTTAATGTGTCTGATTTTAGGAAAAATGTCAAGATTGTAGCTAAGGTCAAAGTACCTAAAATGTGCAAGTTTTGGTACTGTGCTTCTAACCTGCAGCACAGCATAAGCCATTGTACTTTTAATTGTCACTCCCATACTTGCTTTTTGTGGTGTGCCTTCACTGAGCCATTTTCAGAACTTTGCCACCTGCAAGGTGAGGATGTGATGATAAAATTGGAAAAAGAGCGGTGCTTTGTTTAATGTCACATAGCTTCTGCTAGAAAAGCCTGCTTTTGATCAGTTTTCATACTGCACCAAGGGTAAATATGAAACATTTTGCTGTGGATATGGGTACTGAAGACATTTAGTATACAAAAAGCATAAAGTTTGTTACATTCTTCTGGTGTGTCCAGGAGAAACTCGGTGAACAGATATTTGGAAAGCCTGAGAAGCATTTTCAGCATTTCTTAAATAACTAATGAGAATAGGTTTGCATGAACAGGTGTAGTGGTACCCTGCAGGAAAATTTCTTGGTTTGGATATGTGGTTTCTACTTAACAAAAAAGATTGCTCTAACTTTTAAGGAATTTTAACCTGCTGTGTTTTGAGGTGAAAGTTAAAAAAGTATATGCAGCTTGAGTGCCAAACGATAGTGAAGTTTGATGGGCTGTTTGCTGGTGTGTATCTCTGGGGCAAAAGTATCTGAATTTTATTAGGATAAAATTAATACTAATTTGATACAGTATGTGAGTCTAGTGTTCAATCGATACACTTAGGAGCTACTCATCTAGCTATTCTAAAAGAGCATAAGCAATTGAAATTGTGTAATAAAAACCAGAAAAAAATGCAACAGTTTAAACTCTTGGGTTAGATTGTTTCAAACAGTAGGTGTGAACTGTATGCAGCTCATCTGTTATGTGCTTCAAGGACATTTTGATGACATTTGGTCTCATAACAATGGTTAGCACATCTGAGAACTGTTTCCAAAAGAAACCTGCCCTCTAAAGTCTGTTGGAAAACTGCTTTAGAGTAGCTCCATGCAGACCACTCGCTGTTAAAAATTATGGTGGTACTTGGAGAAGACAGTGATGGGAGCAGAACAAAAAAGGCTATGAGCCCCAAAAATGGAATTCAAAGTTTCACCTGTTTTCAGGTCCTGCTCTGCCTACAGGGAGAAAGCAATGAAGGAAGCCTGATCACTGAGGGGGGAGAGTGGGGATAAATAGTAGAAGAGCCTGGCTGGAGATAGTATGAGGTAGGCCTGTAAGTCTGTGTTTGCATAGGGTTGGTATAGAGGTTGTAGAGGAGGAATGAGGAGACTAAAGCACAAAGAAAACACATGCCTGGACTCAAACTTCAGGAAGTACAAATTTGGAACTAAAGAGGTGGGTTGTGGGGCAGTGAATGATTATTGATTGGATGTCACTAGAAACTATAGAGAGCCTGAAATGAAAAAAAAAAAAAAGTCCCGTGTTGGTTTGTGAGTGCTGTGGAGTGGAGTCTCTCCAAAATGTCACTGCTGTTTGTGTTGTTTATAGTGCTTCAAGAAGCAGCAGGGAAAATATCACAGAACTATGATACCTAGAAGCCCATAGAAGTTCAGTCCACAGAGGTGTAGCTTTTAAGAGCCAACTATAGAGAGCCTGAAATGAAAAAAAAAAAAAAGTCCCGTGTTGGTTTGTGAGTGCTGTGGAGTGGAGTCTCTCCAAAATGTCACTGCTGTTTGTGTTGTTTATAGTGCTTCAAGAAGCAGCAGGGAAAATATCACAGAACTATGATACCTAGAAGCCCATAGAAGTTCAGTCCACAGAGGTGTAGCTTTTAAGAGCCAACAACTTCTGTGACAGCCAGAGCTGTAATTAATTTCCTGTGTTTAGCTAATACTAGTGAATGAATTTGGAACATGGTGCTTGTTTTCTGTGCAATTTGAACTTCTCCAGAGATAAGCTGAAGTCTAAGGTTAAACTGAAGTTTTCCAAATGAGTAGTTTCACTTTGTAACTGAGATGGTTGTTGAAGTAGCTCACGCATTAATATTTGTGACATAGATCTGGTATTTGAAACTGGCCTTGATAGTAATTATGCAAGATCCTGCACCAGAAGTTTCCTTCTGTGTTAAGTGTTTATTTTTAATGCATTTCAGGTATTTCTTTAAATCCAGAACAGTGGAACCAGCTGAAGGAACAGATATCTGATATTGATGATGCAGTAAGAAAACTGTAAAGACAAAGCCATGCCGAAATGTTTATCATTTTTGTTGTTACAAGTGGTCTTTTTACATTGGCTTTTGTTTTCTAAAATATTGTTTTCCAAGCTATTGTATATTTGGATTGCAAAACAATTTGTAAGATGAATACTTTTTTTATGTGCATTAAAAGTGTATTCTGAGTGAGGCTATTTGTGTATACTTTACTAAAAGGAAATGTGTTGCTCTCACATCATGGTGTAAAATAAACCAGTCAAATAATATGTAAAGCATACTTGTTTATGGCCTTCTGATTGAAGGTGTTTGCTGATAAGGCCACCTCGTAGCTTTAGTCTTTGTTTTAGTTAACAGTTAATATGAATTTGTTCTCTGAGGAGATTTATATAAATGTCTCCATCTCTATTTTTTTCTTTTTATTTCAAACTCTTTGGTATTGCCCTGAGCTTTCTGCTTTAAGACTTGATACAAACAGTTAATACTTGGTAAAACACATTTTTGTAGATAACTTTGAATACTGTATTTGCTAATTTACCCTATTTATTCAAATGTAAACAGTCCTGAGTTTCTAGACTTTTTTGCATTACTTGCATGAAGCGTTAATGCTAAACAATAACACTTGAATACAAGCCACATGCTATTTCTTCCCATTTTTCTGTAGCTTGGTTGACTTAGACAATACAATTAGCTGGGATTTTTTGGGCCCTAGGTTATAGAATGTGATGCATAAACCTTTACTGTTCTAGACATATACCTCAGACTGAGATAATATGTAAAAGCTAAGGTACCCTTTTCAAGTTTTGCATTACATTCCTTATTGAATACATAGCAGCTAGTTAGTCTGTAGAAAAGAACAGTTAACCTGTCTTTGTAGGGCTTTTGTTTGGTTGAAAGTAAACCATATTTAAGCTGGGCTGTAACACAGGTTAAACAAACAGGGTTTAAATTGCTTCAACCAAAATGTCTGGCTGTCACGCTTCTGCCCTGTCCACACTGCCTGCCCAAACTGTTTAACTTGGCTTGCTTTGTGTGGCTTTACAAGTGCACAGCTGTTTCATCTTTTGTGCAGAAGACACTTAGGGCTTAGAGGGGAGTGCTGGTACATAAAGGATCATGACTCTAGCGAACCTTGCTTGTCAAGCACTGTACTGTTCTGGTAAGAAAAGCTGCTGTCCAGTGGAAGCTCTATTAGACTGGGTGCTGCCCCAGTTGAGGGGCTGCTTCTTGGTAGGTGTCAAAAGCAGAGAATCAAAGAAGTGAGAAGGTGATGTTGCAGTGGACCGTGGAGAGATGAGGGACACACTAGTACGGAAGCTGACGGTGGGAGGTCAGACGTTAGCTGGCATGCAGTGACTCGGTGAAGGCACGCGCCGCAGCGGCACTGGGGAGGAGTCCATCTGACTGCATGCAGCTAGTCCGAGGAAGAGGATGGAGCAGCTTCAAGGAAAATGACATTTCAAGACTATGTGTGAATGTACATGTTAATTGTTTTTGTTTTAAGTTTCCCATTTGATATTAAACTTAATGTAGTTTTAAGATCTTGCATAGATGAACAGGATTTGCTGTCTGTTTAATTTTGGAATATGTTAATATAATTGTTTATATTGCAGACATGCATGAAAGTGCCATATGCAGACTTTCCTGTGCTGCAGAGTTTATAATTGAATACAAATAGGTATTGAAGCATGAGGAAGGGTGACTTCATTGAATTAAATATATATTACTGAATTTAAAATATTTCAGATTCCTCCACCTGCTTCTTAATTACCCATTGGTGACATATTACAAATAAAGTTAAGATCTGTTTTTGTACAGCTCAGGAAATCTTGAGGTTTTTAAGAACTGCTTGAGGGTGAACTAGAGGATGAAGAGATGTTTTGTGGTAGCAGATGCATTTTTGGGCACAGCATTCTGTTTTGAGTGACTTAAGGGTGTGTAGGGGATATTTGGACCAAAGACAATAAATATGAAATATCTGTTAAAATTTCACAGATGAAAATTAATTAATTGCTTCTGATCACTGTTGACAGGTTCTATTTTTTTTGTTTGTGGTATGTATGTGTCTTTTTTTTTTTTCCTATAAATCTAAAATTTTGCAATGCGATTTCACCTGTTTTACCTCAAAACTTTCATGTGGCTACTTGCATGATTATATTAGAGGGAACATTGTCATCACTTAGATTACTGTGGTAGTAGGTCATTGGATTGCGCTTGTGTATCAGAGTATGATAAAATTGTGTTCAGAAAGGTAGAAAATTAAATTCCTTTGGGGAGAGTAAGTGAAAAAGTTTTAATATAGTGATAAGTTCTCTTGTGGAAAGTGATGGTAGAGGTGTTCAAAGAAATTAGCAATTATTAACCAAGAACTGTTAGTTCCTTTGACAGATAACTCCCGTGCTGAATCTGTGGTGATAATTACTGGAGCTGTTTATCCCATTTTACTTGATAAAACTTGGGGCAGTTTGATTTTACTTAGCTTGTGTGTTTGAAAATAGTTTTCTATCTACCAGTTATATTAATGCCTGCAATAAAGATAGAATATCATATATTTTAGCTGAGCCAGTCTTAACATCTGTATGAATGTCCTACAAAGGAGATAACTAAGTCAGCCAGTCAGTTTCACAGGTGTATTCAAAATGGAATAAGTTGAATTGTGAGGGAATTCATTGCACATCAGATGACTGATGTCCTTGTTACTTGGTAAACATTTGACAGGTTTAGTGTTATTTTGAAATCAATAGTTGCTAGTGATTTGTCATGTAATTATCAATGGCTATAGTCTTTCTAATTTGAGAAGAAAATTGAGAATTTTTTTGCATAAAGATTATTTTCTTGCAGACAGAATGGTAGGGTACATGTAGAAGTGTCTGAATGAAAATTGTGCATGTATCAGAAAGCTATGTAATATGGGATAAAAAAACCACTCCCTTTCACATTGAAGTGGCAAAAGAAAGATGCATTTGATTCTTGATGTTTGTACAGGGCATATTAGCAATATGTTTTAGCCATTAAACCTGCTGTGGAGCTTAGGAGGGATAACAGGTCACAGAGCTGCCAAAGTACCGTATGTGTGATAAGTCAAACTGTCATTTACAATGTTGCTCTTATGTAGAGGTGTTCATACCGAAATTAAACAAATGCAGTACTAAGCTTGATATTTCTGTTAAAGGAACTGCCCCAGTTACGTACCTCTTATGTGATCTGTTAGCGAAAAAATAGACTGTAATTCTGGTAACTCAACTGTCATATTGTTAACCATGTCGAATGTTTCATGTTTTGCTCTGGTGGTATCTGCTCCAGAGGCTGCTGGAAAAATGAGCCCTCCAACTGTAATTACGTTAATGTTCAAATAAAAAAGTAGTTAAATGGCATATGTGTAATAACAGTTTGAACACTTGGAAATAAAGACTTCCGTTGACATAGTGTTATTTTTAATAGAAATGTAGCCACACTAAAGCTTACTTTTTCTTAAGTTATTAATGGGAGCTGCTCTTTCTTTCTTGCAACTGTTGTAACGTGGAAAATTACCAATATTTGGTAGTTTTCAAATAGTAGTTTCGGAAAACTTGAAAACTTGATCTTCTTACACTTGGCCCATGTTTGTGGGTGCGGGATTTTGTAGTCCGGAGGGATAGAAGCTTTTCACTATAGCAGAAGAGTAAGTGTCATGTAAATAGGAGCAGCAAGTACAAGCACACTTTCAAACATCAATCAGAAGGAAAGTGCCTGGTAAGTCACGACTCTCTTAAGAAAGTGGCTGATTAACTTTTTCAGTGGAGTTTTTTTGACCTGACAGTAAATAATGTAACTATAGTTAAAAATAACAGAAAAGTTTTTCACCTATTATTGTTCAGCTGGGTCAGTGTTGGCTTCTTTTGGAAAGGCATTTGTTATTCACGTGCTTTCTGTGACTGATTTGTAGGGAGTGGGTTAACTGATTGTAGCCTTGAAGGTAACAGATTTTTATCCAAGTAATTTTTATTAGTTTAGCAGTTTATAGCCACGGAAACAGAAATGACTGTCTCAGAGGGGAGGAATGGAGTTAGGGGCTGATGAAGTGTCATGTCCTACCTGTTTCTCATGGGCTGCTGTCCATCCACTTAGTAGGACTCATCTTTGACTGTAGCTCTGGTGACTGTGTGAGCAAGCTGATAGGCAATGTTCCTCCTGTTGAGAATCAAGCCTGTGTGTCCCCTGCTCTTGGTGCTCTTGCTGAAGGGTGGAGGCACTGCTGAGGAAATAAATGGTCCTCAGCTTAGTGATGGTTATCAGGGAAGCTTAAATTGTGCTGTATTGTGAGCAGAGGGACATGCCATTAGTCATGGGGAGCATGTAAAGGCTGACAACTTGGTGACATCTGTTCCTCTGGTATTGTGCTTCATTTAAAAAAGTATATAATTTTTTTTTTTTGTAAGAACTGCTTAATTTGCTCTCATTTTCACTGACTCCATATACTCATCATTGATGGGATAGAGAATGAGGTGGGAACTGAGTTTCGGTTAAGGACTTAGTTTTTGAAAACATTGATATTCTCTGGAAGGAACGGCGTTCTCAATCCTGAAGGTGAGTAAACTGTGAAAGTTGGAATGGACAGATTGTTCTTGGAAATCTCTAGGTGTGTTTGCTAAGGCTAAATTAGAAAAAAACGTTTTATGCCTCCCTGACCAGCCTGCCTTAGGCTACTGTTATCAGAGTACTTGGGCAGAAATTGAGATAAAAAATTATGAAGTAAAAAAGGTAAGATTTTATATAATCCCGTTACTTGTAATCTAAAGAGCTTTTCACATTTTAGGAGTTAAAATATTTTATGCTTTTACTAAGAGGCTACTGTGTCAATTAATTTCCAGACTGTTGAGAAAATAAAGCCTATTTCATCTTGGGAATAGAAAGACCTAAGTTGTTCTGTTCATTAATGTCACACCATACATCTGAGCGATAGGAAGAACAAACTTGAGATTAGTATGACCCTAACAGTTAATTAATTGAAATTGAAAATTAGGTATTGTATAGTAATAAAAATTCACAGTCCATTTGTATTGTTGATTTTATGTGACCTTTGAAGCTTTTTGCTAGCTACTTTAACATGAAATGGCTCTGCAGAGCTCTGCTGTTTCTTCTGCTTGCCATTGGCCATCCTTTAGTGAGAAGTGCAGCTCCCTTTGCATTTCCTCTATTACTTGCACTCTGACTGGAAGCATCCTTCCATCTCTTGGAACACCAGCATTGCTGTCTGTGCTCGCATTCTCACAAGACAATTGTATCCTGATGATGGCTG